TCGCTAGCCCGGTCCTCCTGCTCGCCTCTCCTCCCCCCTGCTTTCCTCACGATATGCGGGGTCTCACTTTTGAAACGACGTGATGGCGATTTTTCCGCCCGCTCTCTCTTCCCCTGGCAGAGAAGGATCAGTACCTGATGCGCGCACATCCTCCACACATGCACCCGGCAGCGTGCCGATGCTGACTGTCGGTGCTTCCAGCGGATCTGATATTGTGAAGCCTCCTGCCAGCTCTTGTTGGTGTAGCTTTGTGCACATGATGTTCATGCCTTTGCACGCTCAGAGGAGCTTATTTGTGGACTGGAGGCTTCAGCCCCGCAGTTAAACCGTTAAACACAAGCACGCTTTCCTACCAAAATAACCCTAGTTTTCAATATCCTAAGCGAAACACGTCAAATCGCAAAGAAATAATATAATACACTTTAAACCCTAATATTTAAAGTAGTTAAATACATTGTGTAAACGTAATTTCCCCCAAAAATCTATTAACTTCAATATTTTGAGTTTCTCTTTTTTCAGTTTGAGTTAATTGAAGTAATTGAAGTTATTTTGCTGAATAAGAACCAGTTAAAAATATTTTTGGTTTAGATATCTGACAGCAAACATAAAATATTTTTTAATTTTTAACATAAAGATCGGGTTCGTTTTGATTTTGGCATTGGACAAAACAACAGAACTGCTTTGATTGGTAACTTGAAGATTTTTATTATTCTTTATATATTATAGATAGTGCTTGCCTTGCTTTCTTGTTGCCTGTATGGTGGGTGAAACTGACCCAATTTCAAATGGCAGCACACCTGAGCAGTCGGGGCTCTGGTGTATACAAAGCCCATAAACTAGCCCTCCCAGAACCTCTTGGGTTTCTTCTCTGCTTATTTTTCATGGACGCTGCTTAGCTGATAAAGTATTTCAGTTTTGTTTTTAGCACATGCTCTCTCAAATACCCTCTGTGAATTCAGACATCATGTGTTGATATGCTGACAGTCGTTCAAGCTATTTTTAGGTGTCTTTATTTTATTTAACTGAAATATTGTGAAATATCAGGGGTGGCTGGAGCTCAGGTGATAGCGCAGCTCACCTACTAACCGGAAGGTTGGTGGTTCGATTCTAGTCTGCTCCGGTCTGCATGCCAAATATCCTTGGACGAGATACTAACCCCAGGTTGCCCTTTGATGCATCCATCGGAGTGTGAAAGAATGTATGAATGTTAGTTAGCACTAAATGGGTGTGATTGGGTGAATGAACAAATTGTGCTCAGATAGAGTAGAAAAGTGCTATAAGAACCAGTCCAACGGCCTCAGCATACTCGAGCTGCGATATGAAATTCCCAACCGCCCACACATCAGGGAGATAATGGTGCCAAAACTTTCTGAAGAGGTAAAGAAGTGTTTATTTATTATTCTGAAAGCTCGAGACAGT